TGCCCGGGAGTGGCCCTGACCGGGAATCGAACCCGGGTCTCCACGGTGACAGCGCGGCGCCTTTCCATTAGACCACCAGGGGCTCCTTGAAATGCATGATACTTTTGTTACAAAGGGAAATCAATGCCTGCAAAAAGTGTTGCAAAAGAATCTTCCAAAAGAATCTAAGTCTCTCTGTAAATATTGCAAATATCAGACAAACTACTGTGAAGTTTAGAATGCATCAGGCACAACATTGCCAGCCAGTCACGGGAGGTGATTGTTCCACTGGGCTTTGTTCTGCTGCAGCTTCACCTCAAGCACTGTGTGTAGTTTTGCATGCCACAATACAAGAATGATATAAAGCTACTAGAGAGCATCCAAAGGAGAGCTACAAAGATAGGGAAGGATCTGGAGGGGAAGTCTTAAGAGGAGAGGCTGAGGTCACTTGGTCTTTCAGCCTGGAGAAGAGACTAAGGGGAGACCTCATTGCAATCTTCAACAACCTCACAAGGGGAAGCAGAGGGACAGGCACTGGTCTTTTCTAGCTCTGGTGACCAGAGACAGGACCCGAGGGAATGGCCTGGAGTTGTGTCAGGAGAGGTTCAGGCTGAATATTAGGAAAAGGTTTTTCACCCAGAGGGTGGCTGGGTACTGGAATAGGTTCCTCAGGGAAGTGGTCACACCACCAAGCCTGACAGAATTCAATAAATGTTTGGACAATACTCTCAGGCCCATGGTGTGATTCTTGGGGCTTTTCTGTGCAGGGTCAGGAGTTAGGCTCTGTGATCCTTCTGACTCAGGAGATTGTTTCATATTCTATGATTATGCCAGTGCTGTTCAATACTGGTTTATATGTTGTCTCTAAAAGAAACTGAAAATCCAGTTTGAAAGGGAATTCTTTAAAGCACCAAACAACACTGATACCGGTTTTCCCTAGTTTCATTCACCTGCTTTTTGTTCTTGCAAACTGTTCTCCATTTCAGATAATGTTTCTCATAGTTTCTGTAGTTACTGTGTGTCTCCTGAGGTTGGATGTGTATTCGGCTATTCCCATCTACTTCATAAAGCCTACAGTTAAAGGTTTATCTCATTTTTAAAACTCATCTATTCTTTGGAAGAATTTTGAGCCTCCACTAATCAAGAAATATAGCAAAAGAATTATACAGAGAAAATAATGTCAGCTAGATATGACAACTTGGACCATTTTTGTTTCACCTGGGATCTTTTATATAAAATGCCATTCTTTGATTGCTTCCACTTATTTCTGCTCTCATATGACCTCTTTTCTGTCCTTCTCAGTCTTTCTTTTCTACTGCTACTTCTCACCTCCTTTCAGCTTTCTACTTTAGCTTCTTTACTGGATTTCTTTTGAAATATTTGGTGTTCAGAGTTCTTTGGATTAACAGTTGATACACTGTCTCTTGGTGTATGAATATTTGCCATGGACATAGATTAATTAATATTTTTGCAATTAATAGATCATGATAAAATTACAATCCTGAGACTTCCATAAGAGAATTGTTTATCTAATGTAATTAACTAACTGTTACTCAATTAACAGGTCTTGGAGGCTTTAGTTCCGAATTTTTATGTTACTCATGTCATCAATAACAAAGACAAAACTTAAAACCAAACAATATCATGTAGTTAGATAGTTAAGTCTAAAAACTGTAAAGCAAAACAGTAGGTAGTAGCTTGTTGTTTCTTTACACTACACAGGCATCTGGAGAGTAATAGGGCTATGAAGATCTATGGAATTTAGATTTGAATTTGGATTTTGAATTTTGAAAATCTTTGGATTTAATTCTTGCTGAAGCAGCTAAGGAGTCTGGAAGATGAGCCATAATTTTTATCCTGAAAAAGGTATGATCATGAAAACTAGAAATAAATGAGACTGTATCTCTGCTAGCTTTAGCTTCAAAGGTTTCATACCTGAAAAGAAGCTCTGTATAAATCCATGTTGAGTGTTACAGAGGCACTGGAACTACTTTGCTGAAATGAGGAAGATAAACAGTGAGTCCTGAGCATGACACAGAAATAGCAGTGAAGACACTATGAAAGTAACTTGAGTGAAAGAAGATAATAGGGAAAAGAATCAATTAGAACTAAAATTAAAGAAATTGAAAAGAAAACAAACATAAACGACAGCATATCTTCAAAAAATGTGCACAGGTGAAAAATATGTTACTTAAAAGAAACCAACAGTGGTTTTTGATGCACTATATGTACTTAACATTTTTAAATCCCATAAAAGAGACCAACTATAAACATATGCTGCAAAAGTTTCAGAAGTATGGCACTGCCCATATAATTTCTTTTAGATTTCAGAATTTTTAATCATTCTGACAGTGTCAAGCTTGCACTGAGACCTTCCAAATTCTGCCCTGGTTCTGGTTTCATAAGTAAAGCTCAGAATGGAGTTAAGTGGGCATTAGATTATGTGGTTTGCAGATAAACATGATGTTAAGCATTTAGTTCTACCATCACAAATTAACAGAGAAAAAAGTCTAAAAGTAACAATATAATGATTGGAACAATTTGTAGCATCAGAGTGAGTTGACTTTGACATTGCTAATTTATAGAGTAACAGCAGCAAAATGTGTTTCAATGCTTACAGATTTTTTCTATGGGAAATTGGAAATTTCACTGCCTGTAATATATGCTGGTGTTTAAGAAACTGAGACGTTAGAGAAACAGACACATTAAGACTCTGTGTAAGACTGGAGAAGGAAAACGTCTCTGAAACCAATTTTGCTTTGAAACAGTGCTTATTTACGATGGATTTTTTTTTTTTGGGGGGGGTTATGACACAAAGCTGTCACTTTGAAATTGATAAGTCAAGTCATTCCTAAAATAGAGAAAAAATCCAGTGTGTTCAATCTCAAGTCACTTAGATGGAAGACTGTCAGGAAAAGGGTAGATGAATTACCAAAAAGGCAAACCATCATTTCAGAGGGAGGATTTTAATGTGCAGATTTGTTTCCCCACCTTATTCAGAAAAGGTCGGTACTCCTGAACAGAAGTATAACATGTCTTGTAAGACAGCTGAGACCCTCATAGCACTTCCATAACACAAGTCATTGTGCATCTCTTGACAGCAGTAAGCAAGAGTGGTAGACAGCACTGTGCGTTTCACAGGTTAAATGGCAGCAATAAATTCAGTCAGTAGGTAGATTACAAATATTTCAAATTACACAGCAGAGTTCTGTAAATTGTTGTCTTTTTTGCCTGGAATAGAGTGATGTGAAATAAAACTCATATGCCATTTCAGCAAGCACCCTAAAACCCTTAATTCTATATAAACCTTATATTTTTTTGTCCTAGTACCTTGATTTATTTAGGGAGTATGAGCTTGAAACCACAGAAACTCATGGATTGTTTGGAAGTTATGGATCAAACTGATCATCTGTTAACAGGTACATTTCTTACATGAGATGCAGGACCTTTCAAAACCACAATAAAAGTAAAACACCATAAGCTAGAGCTCTTTGATACCAGAAATAGCATCCATCTCTCTGGGTGTGATTAACTGAGTTTCTTTACTGTTATTCCTTTCCTACATTCCTGCCCACTGGAAGATGCAGACAGTGAGGATTCACAGTAGCACTTTCCTCTATGTAGACCTCAGTGAGATCTTCTGCTCTGCAGTTCAGGAAAGGGCCAGACTCCTTCAGGCTTGCAGAAACTGAGGCAAACTCCTGACTAAGTTAGTATGACTTGTACCCCTTGCCTTCTCAAGAAGACAGATGTATGAGCTAATTCTTGCAGTTTAGTAGAAGTTTAGGTTTTGAGAGAGTGCATTACACACAACTGTGGTGTCTCATCAAAGCTAGTTCTTGCTCTCTGTGCTGCATAAACCAATCTCTGTTGTAACTTCACTCAGTTCCCCAGTCCTCTTTCTCCTCCTTTCCACCTGCTACAGAGAAGTGTGATGTGTTAATTACCTAATTAACTCATCTTCTTCATAATTAACCTGGCCTTCTCTTTATCCTGACTATCCACACCAGAAAGAAGGATGGCAGGTGGATCAATTTACAGCAATCTAAGCTGTTTACAAGCATATAGGCAGTTTAAAACAAATGGTATGTTAAAAGGGTCTCAATAGGAAAAAAAAAGATGTATCAGCAGCCAGTGAGGTAGCAAAAAATGGCATTTTCATTAGAATAGCATCTCTGTTGTACTCTCAAATGCCATGCTTGTGAAAAGCTGAGAAGTATTTGCTAGAAAAAAATGGAAAACATTCCCACTGGGCAGAGAAAGGTAAGAGGGAAAGATTAGTCTGAAACAATCACCTGCTGGAAGGGTGCAGGTTCAGGAAGAACATTTCCTGACAGCAAGCCTTGGGTGAGGCATTAGTCATTCTCTCCTGCTAGGAGCTTGTTGCTTTCTGTGAATCTCCTGGGGAAAATCCTGCTAAAGAGTGATTAGGAGCAAGTAGTTTTCAAGGTTAGACTACTGCTTTATTTTATTTGATTTAGGTGGATATCATTATGGAGGGATTTCATTTTTAATTTGCAAGGTTGTGAGTGTAACAAAATATTTTTAAACAACTAAAGCTAAATCAAAAAAGAGAGTTATGTATTGCTACAAAATAATACTAGTGCCTTGCTTTTAAGTGATTAATCTCCTGAGTGGAACTCAAAACCTGACAGGAAATTTTCAGTGTAGAAATGCATATTATATCTATTCACGCTCCAGACCACGGGTGACCTACCCATCAGAGGCTCAAAGTTTTAATTTTTTCTGCTTTGGAACTCTGATGTGGAGCATTTTGTTTACGGTTTTCCTCTAAAAGGAAACATTAAGGACAGGGAAAAGAGGAGGGATGAACCAAACAACCCAATAATTGCATTTCTGTGATGTCAATTTTAACTGATTACTATGAGAAGTCTTGTCTGCACTCTTTTACACATCCAGGTAAAGTTTTATGAAAATGTATAAACAGTCTTGTCACCTAGGGCTTCCCTTTACAAGTAAGGTTTTTTCTTTCTTTTTCTTTCATAGGTGTTCATGTTCATTTTACATACTCGGAGTTGCTACATGAAAGTTCTTGATGATATTTTTCTCTTTAATGTTTAGAAGAATTAAGAGACCACTAATACGACTTTATGCATATCTTTATTCTGAAGGCGTTCTCTGAACACTTCCAAGTGGTAAGAATCACGGCGGGGAGAAGGGGAAAAAAAAGAAAAAAAGCCAGGTGTTTATGTTAGGTTTTGGTGGGAGTTTGTACGGTCTGTCTGCTCAGCTCTGTCAGGACTGAGGTGTTTGTGGAATTACACTGAGGAAAAACTTTCAGCACTTGAGAACCCCTTAGGACAAAGAAGCAGAGGCAACAATGATGATGATTTGAAGCGTTCTAAGTGTGCTGAGGTAGATGAACAGGGACTTCTAGAACTATAAATTCTGACATCAGTATCTTCTGTCTAAGTCATGCTTCAGATGCTGAAATCTTATTTTAAATCAGGATACTAAAGCTTACGTAGTAGCATAAACTCAAACATTAATAGTTCTATATTGCTTGGGTGCAGTGAAGAATAGACTATTTTTTCCCCCTTCCATTTTCTCCCCATCCTTTTCACAAACTTGCAGCCTGTTTCCTAAGAAAAAGTTTGAGTTGGGTTTAAAAAGGCTTCCAGAAAGCTTTTTCAGCTTATTTCTAGAATTTTGCCAGTGTTCAAATGCAATGTATTAATTAACTCATCCTCAAATTAGGTGATTCTTCAGATCTTTTCATTTACAATAGAAAGTATTGTATCTTTAGAAATTTTAGGAGCACCCTCGTGAGTGCAGTGCACACGAGTGATGCATGGCATGAAGGATGCAGTCCATATGCTGGCACGTGACTCAAAGGGAAGCATGTTCTCAGTGCAAGGGAATGCTGTCAGCTTATCTTGCTTTTCTAATTTGAGTTTATTTGCTGTAGTTGCTCTTCTGGAAATATGATCAACTTTAAATTAGCACTCCAGTCACCTTTAACAGATCTGTATACTTAGCTGAAAGAAAGCAAAACCCCATGACATTTTTCACTTTGCTCTGTTGCAGTAATCTGTTTTGGCTGAAGCATAGGACTGAGCCTGTAGATGTTAAGTGTGTTATGTCTACAGATGTAGTTAGGATGGGAACACAGTCTGTCAGAAATCAGTTTGCATTTGTCAGAAATCAGTTTGCATTATTCCAAACTTTACTAGTTCCAGAACAAATACAGAGTGCCTTTTTGAGATGTGTCGTCAAGAACAGATGTTAATGAGTCCAGACAATCAGGATGCTGCAGGACCTGCCGACCATATCATGCTCATTCCCCATAACTGTAGGGAATGGGCTTGTCCAAGCATGCACAGATAATGTTCTCTGTGTGGTCTTTGAAAGTGCATCTGTATGATTCTTAAGGTCCTTACCAGCTCTGGGCACCATGGAGGTGAGAATTCTTGTCTTAGAAGATGCTGGGGGTGCAGCTTTTGACATCGACTCCTTTGTTTGTTAGGAAGGATCTGTACGTTTGAATCCTATCTAAGGGCTGGCTGCCTCCAGACAGGAAGAAATTGGCTTCCAAGTGTTCGTCTAGGGATTCTCCCTGCCTTACAGCTCTTCTTGTGTGTTCTTCAATCCACTTTAAAACAGCATTAGGAATTTTCATTCATACCACACAAACACATGTTTGTTGAAGACAGTGGAGGCCCTGCACCTGTGCTACCTGCTGCCTTTCCAGTCATCATCCAAAGTAACCCCACAGCACTGGAGGATGAGATTTTCTGTAAGTCATAGTTATTTTTTTTGTCAAGCACATTACTGTTCCCAAACAAAGGGAAGATATAATGAGCATGGACAGTTGTCTATGCCGAAGTTAAAAAAATCCTGACTAATAAAGAGTGAAATAAACTGCATGTTATATCCTGAGCAACAGCCAACTAAATCACCCCTGATTATTCCTGACATCAGCCTCTGGGATACCCTCTTTCCTCCTGAACTTTGTGCTCTATGAAGAATTTACAAAATAAAAAAATTGCCAACTGCTATTCAAATGATAAGTGGTGCATGCTAATTACATTTTATATGGTAATTAATTAAAAATAACCATGCAAATGTCTAATTTAAGAGTCACTCAATTCACTAAGTCTTCAGACACTGCCTAGCTGCCCTAGGCATTTGGTGGTTAGGCATTTATTCAAGCTTTCAAAATATTCTCAAAAAGTCCAAGATAACGAAGGTTCTTGAAAAAGTTCCAGTTAGCTTGGAATATATAAACAGAGGTTTCAGAAGAGTAAAATAGCACTGCATATATTTGCATTTTTGAGCCAAAGTATACTGTGTATACATAAAAATAGACCAGGAAAGGAATAATAGAGATCCTAAATTATCTGAATATTTAGCTGCAGTGCGCAGCAGGCTAGTTCATAGATTATTTCAGGACCTGAAGAAAATTAAATATAATCTTACTTAAATCTAACTTCTTTACATAGAAGGTCTTTGATTCACACATAGACTGTTTGGCTATTTGCCTTATTCACAAATATATATAGGTGTATCAGGAGAGCTACGTCATAACTGGGACTCGGTTTAAATATAGTGAACTTTAATTGGTGGAGTATGCAATTTACAGAACAGATTACAATGGAGAATAAAATATACACTGTGATGCACACTTTCAAAAAGTAATGAATAAAAGTTTACGGAAGAATAATTTACCATCTTTGCTAATAGAAAAATAATGTTAATACCTGAATTGTTATTTTTAGGATCTCATTCCATATACTTTTTTTTTTTTAGGGTAGAATTTTTATTGAATTTGATCAATACAGAAGAAAAACAAAAAATCAAAAAGAATTTGTCCAAGAAAATCCCTGCACTTGATTGCATGTTACTGCTTATGTAGAAAATGGTACTGCAATGAATATTGACACAATTCTACCTTGATAAATACTTGCTGTTTCTGTGTGATGCAAGAGAATTTATGTTGCTCCACAGTATCAGACTCTCAAAACTAACCTTTTTAAATATAAGTCTCTATCAGATACTGAAATAGTTTCCACAGATGTGAATGAGTTTTAGATTATTACAAATGGTCTTAAAAGCATAACCTGCACTGGGTCAGCTTCACTCCAGTAAAGGAATAATCGATACAGCCATCTCAAAGAAAAGAATGATGGTATAAAGGCATTAGCCATGCCATTCTAGACCAGTTGGGAACTGTTTCATCTCTGAAACTTTTTCAGCAGGTTTAACTGCAGGAATATTCTGGTATTTAACCACAGAAAATTTAGATCTATAAATGTGGAATACACTTATTTTTCCATGCATAAAGGACGTTTCATCTGCTCTCCAAATATTAATAAAATATTCTTCATATTTCAAAAATACATATAAAATATAAAGTACATATACAATACATTTAAAAAATAAAAGATACTTTTTTCTGGGACTGTTTACAGAAGGCTAAAAAATGGAGTCATAAGCTTCTGTGTCTGCAGACACTCCTACCTGAAAACACTTCACAAGCAGAAAAGTTAAATTAATTAGTTGCAGTAATAAGTATTTCTCCAGATTTTATAAATAGCAGCTTTTTTTGTCACATAAAGTGAAACACAATAGCTGAGATTATATAATGACACTCTCTGCTATTCTCTAAAATGAATTTCACACACAGAATAAATATTTAACTTTTGAATGTTTAAATAGAGTTCACTGTTTAAACACTTCACATAGGAGCTGCATAGAATCATGAATAATAGAGATGGAAAAGACATAATGTGGTATATTTTTTTTTACTTATATTTTGTTCATACAAACAGGTTAACCTGTTTTGTTTACTTCTGAATGACTGCTATTTCAAGTGATGCAATTCAGGTTACTTCCTACTGGCAACATCCACTGTAGGTGCATCGGCACTGTATGCATGTGTTCACCAAATTCCCTCTTTGTGTGCCCAGAAATTGTGTTTGGTGTCAGTTATTCTGATAGTGTCCACAAATTCAAAGAGGTTTTTCAGTTTATTGATGACCTGCCAGTGGGGGTGTCTAGTGTAGTTTGAGACTTAACTACAAGGTATTTCAAATACTGTACTAATTGCACAGTACAGTGTAATTGTACTGTACTAATTGCAGAGACGTATTTAATAAGTTCTGTCATCTCACTGTATTCTCTACTTCCAGATGAAGTTACTTCATTTAGCTAAGATTCTGGGTTTTTATAAGGAGTGCATTTAATTTGTAAATTCTTTAACTTTGGATGAGGTGTATAGCATGTGTATAGCTTTCTCCAGATTTACAAATATGGCTCAGACCCAGTTTTTGGACTCTTAGTGATCAAAACCTCTGTTTTTTAAAGTGGTTATTTTTTTCTGATAGAAATTAGCAATATAAAAATATCCTGAATCTTACCCATAGCCCACTAATTAAAAGTGATATCTTGTTTCTCAGCAATGTTTGAATAAGAAACTGATTTAGAAATTAAAAAAAAAAAAAAAAACCACATCCATAGAATAATAAATAACTGATGGAAAATACAATACATACCTTCAACAAAATGTTCTATTGGTCTCCCATGTTTTGATCAAATTCCCCCACACTGAAAGTGTCCCAGATTAGTTACATCATAATGCTAGTCAGAATCAGTTATGATCTCAGGTGAAAATCAGTGACCATCAGTTGAATATCTGCAGTATGTAAACCAGAGTGTTTCTATAATTTCTCTTTCCTTTTCTTATGTATTTTTGGACATTCAAGGAAAGTTTTATTGCTACAGTATCATAAGTATGCTTTATTTCCCCTTGCTCTCTGGCATATTGACTGTCAGCATGGAAATTATTTCCTGGGAAACTTGAAAAGTCAATCAAAGCATTGCTGAGAACCAGTACAGTAAGGAATAGAGTTGCTGTTCATAGCACTATGCATTTGACATTAGTAAGGCCTGTTTCACATTGGTCAGCAACACAAGAGATCTGGCTAGGACCAGTAAGCACTCAGTGACTCAAAAGCATCAACGTATTATCTTCCAGTTGCACTCTTTTTGTTGAGACAGTGACAAAAGACAAGACTCAGACTCCTCTGAGCCTCCTGCCTGTATGGTTCAGAAGTCCTCAACTTCCCTCTGTCATTCTACTAGAGCCTGCTGGCTCCTCTTTCCACCCCATCCTGGCAGGCCCTACAGATACGGTTCCACCTGGGGCTCTGTGTGGGCAGACACAGGCAGCCAGTCTGTGAAAATATGATTGCACTGGGCAGACATGAACTCCATTTGTCTTGGACACTGTCTCCTGTGCGTACACAACAGCTACATTTAGCCTGCAGAACAGTGTGATTCAACCAAGTTGATAACTCTGATGAGCCCTAAATAATGCTACGAATCAAACCACTGTCTCAATTGCCTGCGACTGATCTTTTTTCTTCCTTTTCTTTTTTGTCTTGGAAAATTTTAAAATTTGAGTGAAATGAGAAGCAGTCTAATAGGATGTCTCACTGACCTTGTTCTCCCTTTTCTTTCAGAGTGTACAAATGTTATGTAACCGTTAAAGTGCAAACAAAGCAGGTGTTTATATTTCAGAACAGCAATGATGACTCCATCTCTTTGTAGTTCTTTTTGTCCATACTTTATCCTCTGAATCGGTTTGAAAGAATTTTAACGGGAAAAAATGAATATAAAAAATTCTGCAGAGAAAAATACCCAAACATTTTGTAAGCTCATTTGCCCTTTTCACAGACCCTGTTACTATAACAACTTGAATTGTTGCTGTAGTAATATTCTTTTATTATGAAACACAGTGTTTTTTTGTATGCAAGATATTTTCCTAAGCATCTTGACCTTCAAAATTAAAGTAATCTAAAATATTTCCTGGAAAGTTTTTCATAGTTTCATAGGAAAATATATGCAAGGGATAATTTTAGAAAAAAAAGGAAGAGGTGTTTTATTTTTCTTTAGGAAAAAAAATCAAAAAGATTCTCAGAAGAATTAAACAAAATTTTACATACTTACATTGTAAGGCTCCTTATTATCACCTACCATATTTTTTCTCTCTTAATTTTTTGCTTTTAAATGTAAGAACCTAAGGATCAAAAAAACCCAATAAAAAACAAGTGTTTAGGAAATGTCTTCAATTTAAAAAAAAAAACAAAACAAAACAAACTGTAGTAAGACAGTAATATACCAATATAATAGATTTAAATAATAGAATATATATTATTTCATATCATATTTTGTTTATAAATAATAGCAATTTTTCCTTTCTTATGGACCTGCTATAGGTTATGAGAGAATTATCTAAATTTTCTAGATCTAAACAATGTATTCTATTGTTTTTCTACCAGCTTCTGTTTATTTCTCCCACTGCATTTTCCTAGTTTTATCCTTTTGTGAAATTTTGTCTTGGTTTTGCTGTATAATGAGAAGCTGTTCCCAGCTCTTACTCTAGGTCTCCAAGAATAGAAGACTGTATTCTAAAGAGAGACTTAGCAAAAATCTAACTTAAAAGTTAGATTCTCTAGAGTAAGTTGTTTTTCTAAAAAACAAACAAACAAAAATTTAAAAAAAAAACCACCTGAAACAATACAACTAAAATTTTCAGAGGGATGCTAATTTTAAGCAAGGTATTTTGAAGAACTTAGATATAAACTCCATCAGAATTCTAATGTTTGTTAAAAAGAAAATTGGATTAGGAGGTTGCTTATGCAAATGAGGTATTTTAATTTCATCAAGTCTGTTTATATTTCTGATATCTATTGTTAGACTCATCTGTTCCCCACAGATGTGTCCTGCCTGAGGGCCACTTATTTTGAACATGGTGAGAGGTAAGAAATGTGAACTGCTCCTGTTCACCCATTTTGTAAGTGACACTTCAACATGTAGGCTCTGTGCAAGATGATATCATCGCTGGTCTGATAACAAGTGATTGCTACCAATTCTTTCTGTTAGTCTCATCCTTTAAAACATAAGAGGCAAAATTTAAGAGCATTGAATGGAGGCCTGTGGGTTATTTACAGGAAGAATGTGTTTTGTGGCTCTTAAACAAACTGAACATAAGTGCTGAGCAGTGAATTTTTTTTTTTTTCAGAACTAGGACATATGCAAGAAATTTTAAGATCAAAAAAAAGAAATTTAAGATCAAAAACTTTGATCTTCACACAGTGAAATTAAACTGTGTTGCAAGATGGAATCTGTGAAAATTTTGATGCTTGCAATTTTGTACTTGGACTGTTGGAAAACTCCAGCCAAGTCCTGATTCCGATGTCTTCCTTCCTAGTGTTAGTGATTACAACTCCAGAAATGTTATAAGTGTTAGTACATTTTCTCTGTGACCTTATGTAGAAACTATATCTTTGTTCTGATGTAAATAGTGTTTAACAAGTGCAGTATCTCAATACTGAAGTTTTTTTAACATCTGTTTTAGATAATGGTGCTTCGGTGGAGCCAAACTTACATCCTCAGTAATGAAACTGCTAAACTAGGTAACTCATCTCTTGTTCGTATGTAACTTTTTTTGCTGGATTTTGTGTAGAAGAACTGCAGTCATTCATCAGACACTCTGAGCAATTTTCCACTTCTTTAATTACAAATATATTGACCTATGCATATGTAACCATGCTAAGAATGCTGGAGGTCATCTTTGAATTCGTTTTAATACCATAATTGCAAAATCTACAGGAGTGTTCATTTTCTAGAAATAAGGCCTACAATGCACATATTATGAAGGATTTCCAAATCATATTGTTATTTTTCTGTTCACATATTTGGCACTTTTTTATTATTTTTTTTCACACTGTACAGCCTTTTAAAAATTATTCACACTTTCAGCAATTGTGCTGATAAAACACCAAAAGGAATTCCACTACTGTCTTTCGCTATTTTTCATTTTTATTTTACCATCATTATCTCATTACTCGTTACTGTCTAGTCTGACACTATGTAATAGGTCTTTAGGACAGAGTGCTAGCTTTCAAGCTGGTATTAGACCATTTTCATAGTATTTATCTCTATAAGAGTATGTCTCCTGTATAGACACTGACGATATGTAAGCATAAAATATTATTAGTTATATATATATAAATTCATAGTGGGCATAACACTCAATGTCTATATAATGTTCTATTTCTACATGACATCATAGATAAACTGCTGGAGTGGTCTGTTTAGCCTGGAGGAGGCGGAGAGGACACCTCATCGAGGTCTACAACATCCTCTTAATGGGAAGAAGAGGAGGGGCAGGCACTGATCTCTTCTCTATGGTAACCAGTGACAGAACCCAAGGGAATGGCCTGAAGTTGTGTCAGGGGAGGTTTAGGCTGGATATCAGAAAAAGGGTCTTCACCAAGAGGGTGGTTGGGAACTGGAACATGCTCCCCAGGGAAGTGGTTACAGCACCAAGCCTGACAGAGTTCAAGAAGTGTTTGGAGGATAGTCTCAGGCTCATGGTGTAACTCTTGGGGATGGTCATGTGCAGGGCTAAGGGATGGACTTGATGATCCTTGCGTGTCCCTTCCAACTCAGCATATTCTTTGATTCTGTGAAATTTGTGGTCGCAACATAACACATGGTTACGCTGATAGGTGTTTGTTTAAATAATGTGAAAATTTATCTTTTACATGGTGAGAGCAAAAGTTCAGCAGAGGTTACTCTACTAGGTTTTCTGATTAGCTGTTGCAAGAAAAGTATTAAGTCTTTGGGTTTACTGTTTACATTAGGATTATACTACATACAACAAGACTTTAAGTAATGTTTATCTGTGAAATCTTTTTCTGCCATGAAAGGACCAGGATCATATTCAGTGTCAGTTACCCATATCTGGAATGGAATAATTTTTGTTATTGGAAATAATGAGGGTGTTCTTACAATAACAAAAAATAATTTATATAATAAATTATGGGAAAAATCAAGTTACCTCTATAAGATCAAACTCTGATACTAGCATGGGGTCTGTACAGAATGGTGTTTTACTCCTAAATATGTCTTGTGCACAACTTGTTGGAATACAAAATTGTGTTTACAATGCTGTAGGGGAAAATCTGGGTGCAGGAGCCGAAAAGCACTCCTACATGCAGAAGCCAGGCATAGATATAACTAGCCCAAGCTTGCCACTGTATATTTCTTCTCTCCCTGTAGCAACACTGTGATCAATGTCATGCAGAAAATCTGAAACAGTGGAAGGGTTCCAGTACTGTGTGTTTGTAAAAGGTGATAAGATCCGTAAGTCAGCCTGTGCTCAAGTTGGAGCAATGTGGCTCCACTGTATAAAACTAAATGTCATTCAGTTACTAATATAGGTGCCTGGAGCAGGACTTAAGGCAAATGCTGTACTGTAACCCGCTCTTTAACATACAGAACTCCTAAAATTTAATGTTAGAGAAACCAGGAAAACAGGGGACTGAGGGCTTAATAAGTGGAAAAAGTAGATTGACTTGATTTTGTGTACTATTGTCTATTAAAAAAGGTTACACAGAAGGAATCTTGTAGGTTCCCCTTTTCTCTTCTCACATTTTATTTTTGCACTAGAGATATCGTAGCAATGCTTTTTGCAAGTCTTTGTTGTCCTTTGCATCTGAGATACTAAAAATGCTAATTAATGAACTTTTCTTTGCAGTCCCACCTTCCTCTACATTTGTAAGCATTCTGTAACCCTGCCAGAACAGTCAAGCAGTACTTGTCAAATAGGCATATTAAGAATTAGCTTGTATTTTCAGGATCAGTTTGGAGAATTCTTTTTTATTTCCTTTTCTTTATGTTATGCACTTTCTAAATATAGTCAAGCAATTTTTGGGGTCTCATTTTGCTCTCTTGTCATGCCCATTCACAGGCTTGAATGAAAAACGTACTTATTAGTAAGGCTGTACAATTAACTCCTCACTACATTCTTCTAAGTGTGAAGGAAAAGATATGCAACCATGTTGAGCTTTATAGTTAATATATGATTTTTCTATAAGTAAAACTAAGTGGTTACACCTACAATGAGCTCCAAATTTCGAGTTTCAAAAATGGTATTTTATCTTTCAGTGCTAGTGGAACTAGAGACCCAGAGCACTAAATTTAGTACCATAAAATTCCACTTAGACTTCTGAATCTAAAACTACAGTTCATTACTGTTTGAACCTCGGTATCAGGATCAGTACTGTGAAGGCAGTAGCTGATTCTACACTCCTCAGAAAGACCTGACACTCATACAGGTGGTCTCTGGAAGAGAAGAAAATGTTTCTTCACATTAGAAAATATTACAATTGTGAGGGTCTTGGGGCTCTGGTGACTAAACCACATATGTGTCTTGGTTTCATTTACAAAAAACTTAATTTTCCTTCTAGTAGCTAGTACAGTATTTTTATGCTGTTGCATTAAAATGACAGTGATGACACTACATAATTCATTAGTCAAGATACTGTGGGATTCATCTTTTCATAGAATGGTTTGGATTTAACCACCCACCATGGGCAGGGGTACCTTCCACGTTGCTCAAAGCCCCATCTAACCTGGCCTTAAACACTTCCAGGGTTGGAGCATCCACAGCTTCTCCGGGCAAGTGGTTCCAGAGCCTCACCACCCTCACAATAAAGAATTTCTTCCCAGTATCCAACTAAATCTACTCTAAGTTTAAAGTCATTCCCCCCCTTTCCCATCCCTACATGCCCTTGTAAAAAGTCTCTTTCCAGCTCTCTTCTCCAGGCTGAACAACCCAAATTCTCTCATCCTGCCTTCACAGGACAGGTGCTTCTACCCTCCTATTCTCCTGTTCTTAAAAATATCATCCTTGAATCCTAGATTAAATTACACTCTAATTCTACTTTTGTGTATTCCCCAATCAATTCAAATAAATTTAGTGAACTCACTTAAGTTACTCTTTCTTACACCAATATTAATTAGTGCACAATGTGGTCACGTGTATCACTTTTGACAATGAAGTAGTGTATCAAAACATCAGAACTCCAAGGTATCACTACAAGTCTACATTATGTGGTATTCTATTAACTTACTAAACATTTTTTTTATACTATGTCCATCCAGCCTTAGGCACCTTGAAACAAAATAGCACTTTAAGAATCCTCTTGCTGAATTTAAGAAATTATTCCTATGTAATAGTGCCCATCAGTGGCTAACTAAAGATTATCTGAAGCTAAAATGATGGAGGAGAACTGCAAAATCCTTGATGGTTATATAGGAAACCTTCAGCCATTCAAAGCGAGTCTTTAAGGGTCTAATCTCAAACAGCATGAGCTTGCCATTGATTTCTGAGGGTAGAGGATATTTGGAAAAGGTGAATAGTCTTAAAATACTTAAAATACTTAAAATCTAATAAATTAGATTTTTAGGGATACCCTAGAGGTGGGATCATTGTGAGAAGGGAATCGGATGAAAGTTACCTTTGTAGTATTGACATACAAGGAAGAATTCACAAAAATAAAATATTCTTGAATAATTTTGAAGATATTTGAATAATACTAAATTGGAAAGAGAAGCATAACGGTAAGAATTTGATGCAAATAAACTCCCCATTTCTCATGACTCTCACATCCTTGATTCCTAATGATTCCTAGCACAATAAAATATAATGAGTAAGTAATGACAGCTCAATTTCATGCTCTTCAGCAGTAGTAGCTGGATCGTGCTCACAAATGAGAAAGCTTGAAGCCCAAATTATTCCAAAGTTCCCCTGCAACAGTGATTGTGCATTTGTATTACTTTTCATGTTTTCTGTTGAGAGCCAACAAACCATTCAGTGCCTTCTGAGGCACAAGTGTGTTATTTTTAAAAGATTAATGGTTCTGCAGAGCAGTAACATATATAATTAGGAAGCCTGTATTCCTACTTTTAAC